CCGCGCTGCGGGGCGGGCTGCGCGTCCTCCGGGAGCGCTGGATGCGGGGCACCCGCGAGCCGGGCCGCACCGCGCCCGCCCCGCCGCCGGCGGCCCCGGACGGCGCCCACGGAGTGAGCACCCTGCAGACGCTGCCGGTGAGCGGGGCCCGGTGGCGCGGGGCGGGGCGGGGGGCAAAGCGCTGCATCCCCGCCCGGCCTTCTTCGCTGCTGAATTCGGGAGTCGTTAAACCGCTGCTCTCAATGGTTTTCAGATCGACGTGCAGCTGAACATCATGTCCTTCCTCTCGCCCCAAGATTTGTGCCGCCTAGGAAGCACGAGTTGTTACTGGAGGGCAGCTGTGCAAGACCCTTTGTTATGGAGGTATTTTCTCCTGCGGGATCTCCCGTCTTGGACTTCTATTGATTGGAAATCACTTCCAGATGAGGAGATTTTTAATAAAGCCTTTTCGGAGGTCGGCGACAATGCACTGTATGATTACATGGCAGTGTAAGTATCTCTCTGTTACATGACTCCAAGTATGCCTACAGCAGTAATACTCAGCCCACAGGCATGTTTCATATTTACATAAATAAACCTGCTGTAAGCTGCTGTTTAGATTTTGATGTGTCTCACATCTATTGTTTATTTTGGAAATACAATTTCCTGTTGCTCCATGGTCTGGTCAGCTCTTTCTGTTTGGAACTCAGCAAGAATGTAAAACATTGTAAAAAAAGACAACACTAATGCTATAAAAAAATTACAGCTTTTTGTAAACTGTCTGTCTACTGTGGCACAGAAATACCGCATACTGTTGATCTTGATAAAGAAGTGTTCTTTGCCCTCAGTGCCACAGCAGTTATTTTCATAGAAGTACCAAGAAGTCTTCAAACTACAGCAAGTGAAATGAATCTTCATGGTTTTTCATCTTATTTGGAAGACAGAATAATAAAAAAGTGCACAGAATGTGCACAGAATAACAAGTTGTTTTAGGTCTGATTGTCAAAGACTGTAAGACAAAGACTGGTTTCAGCTAGTACAGTTGAAACCATTGAAAACCATAGCAACACAATAAATATGTTTGGATGACTGAGAAGAACTCTTTAAAACAAGTTAGTTTGTGGTGATTTCTTTTCTAAACTCCATTCAGTTCCCTTGATTTGCAGTAGTGGTCTGTAGATTTGTTTGGGATTTTTGATTTATTTGCAGTTACATTTTCCAAAGGTGGTCCTTAACACGTTGCTTTGTGGTAAGTGCACTAACTTCTGCAATCTCCGTGCCTTTCATCCCCTTTTAACAGGTGGGAACAGTACACCCAGTATTTGACATGCAAAATATGGACTGATTTTGAAATTGGATTTAAATCTGTTTAGGTCTGAATCACTACTTTGAAACCATCTGTCACTGATTCCATTGTGTCTGCGTGCACTTAGCCGTTTTGCTGATCTCGACTGAAACATTTCAGTGTGGGTACAAAGGAGCCCATTTGATGCTTATTTGAAGAGGTTTGTTCAGCAGCAGCCTACCATGACTCCAGAAGCAAACTGAAGCTGCTGCTCTAGGATGTCTGACTGTTTTATTTCTTCTCAATTACCTGTCTTTCCCTGCCTTCTAGCATCCACAGCAAATGAGCATATGAGTTTGCAGACTTGTCCTCTTCCACAGCTTGCATGCTCTCTACCTACAGGGAAAATGTTTCTTTTTCAAGGGGTTACTTGTTATAAATACAAAAGAGTTTAATTAAAGTTTAAAATGCACTCACAAAGCTCATTTTTAAAATTATATTTTTAATGTGACTCTTCTGCTTTGATGCTATTTTACCTATATTGTGTATTCAGTGAGGATGGGGAATTCATGATTTTTATTTTATTTTTAAATAAACTGAAAGATCTGTAGATAGAAGTGTACTGAGGTCCAAAAAGTCAGTATTTGGACTTCAAAAGAACTGATGCTTTTGCCTGCTTTGTATTGGTGCTTGGAACTTCATAATTTTTGACCTATGCTTTGAGTTGTACCAGTAGCAAAGAATAAGAAATGTGGGACCTAAATTAATTTGTTTGATTAATACCTCTTTTGTATTTTGTGTTTAATTTCTAGTTGCATCTATTTTAAACAGATATAAAAGGAGCTGTCCTCAGGGTAGAAGAAGTTTGAAATCGAGCCGTCCCCGGTATGGGACTGTGACTTCCTTTTTGCAATCACTGGTCACTCAGGCAGAACCTCGCTTTGCTATGTTTGGGCCAGGTTTGGAACAGCTGGACAACTCTTTAGTACAAAAGATGATGACATGCCCAGAAATTCTGCTGGTAGCTGGCCTACCTCATAGACAAATTCATGGTAATGATGGTGTGGCTTTTGGCCTTCTTATTTTGTAAAAAGATATAATACAAAAAACTTTGAGGAAGAAATGAAAAAAAGGAATTATTTTTTTGTATCCTTAAAATTTACTAGAATAATGGTAAAAAAAATATTTCTGGTTTGTACAGAAGGATAAATGCAGCGAACATTTGGGACAAACTAATAGCTTCAGTGAGTTTGTGATTAAATTTAGACATTGTCAGAAGAATAATTTTGCTCCTTGTACTTCTATTTTCATCCAAAATTCCATGTTACTGCTGCTGTTGTGATCAATAATTGCAGACAGGCCTTTCTTTCAGTACTGCTTGCAGTAAGTAGCTAAAAACCACATTTGTGATTTTACATAGGAACTCAAGGCTGATCCTTATATGACTCAGTATTCTGGTATCAAATTATGTTAATTTTACTTAGAAGAGTTAAAGGAGCAGGTGTGGGATTTTTTGATGTTTTAAAGAGTAGCTTTGAAAGTCAAATTTTTCTTCAGTCCAAGCCAGAGACAAAAATGTGTTACTTTATAACTAACAGTTATTTCATCACAGCTGAACTCAAATAATTAAATTGTATTTATAGGAAGCATGACAATTATTTTTAGTGAGTTTTTTATTTCTGTCATATGTCCTTTTCAATGCAGCTTGTCATAAGCAGACTGGAGCCTTTTCTGTGCCAGTTTCAGCTAATAAATACAAGTCTGGCTCTTTTCTGATTTAGATATCTAGGTTCAAATCTAATAATCTGAAATACAGAAATAGTTTTAATACTATTAGATATTCATTAAATTAAAAGTGATCAATTGGAGCATGTATATTTAATTGTAAAATAGTAAATCTGCTACCCCTAACAGCAATATCTAGGTTTGAATGTATTCATTTTGTGGCACCACTGGAATTTTTGAACTACTACTACTACTACTACTACTACTACTACTACTACTACTACTTAATTGTATTCAGTAGCCAACTAGCTGTAATCTTACAGATTAATTTTTTTCCTGTAGGAATTGGATCAGGAGTCAGTTTTCAGTTTAACAACAATCAAAAATTCAATATTGTGACATTGTATTCCACCACAAGGTAAGATAAGATCTGTTCTCCATCAAATGAAAAGTACAGTTTCTAATTTATTTCAGACTTTTCTTAATATTCTTGTCATGTGACTTTCCTGTGCACTTTCTCATGCATGGACATCCCTTATAAATTATGTTTCAATGCATGCCTTTGCTTTTCCTTTCTTTTTTCAACCACTAAGTTTTCACATGGATGTAATAAAGTTTTTCCAAACATTATATGTACCAAAGGTGTACAACAGGTACATTACAGGTGCTTCTGTCCCTCTTAATATCTTGCTTGAGTCCCTTTTGAAACACTTTATGAACTCATCCTGGAGTGTATTTTCATAAGCATCTTGCAGTTTGCCAACCATCTCTGTTTGTGCATTCAGAAAGAAAGGAGGGCAGGAGGGGACAGGGAGAAATGAAATCATTTTTCTGGCTCAGCCCATTTTCCTGTTCCTTTCCTGAGCTACTTAGACTTTCAAGATTCTGTTTTGGCATTCTCAGTTAACCTGACTACTGAAATATCTTTCAGTGTGGAAAGGAGGAGAGCAAGGGAGGAGCAAGCTGTTGCTGTGAATAAGATGTTTTACCAAGAGAATAGCACAGAAGGGAACCAGCAAGCCATGCACTACAGTGTCATAGCTCAAGTGAGGAAGGTGTGCGAAGTAGTTGATGGATTCATTTATGTTGCTAATGCAGAAGCTCACAGAGGTAAGGGGTTTCTCTTTTTTTATATTTTGTGACTAACTGGTGTGTTAGATTACAAAGAACATGCAACACATCGAAATCCATGTTGATCCTTTCAAAATCTGCTATTTCTTCATGTCGTACCCTGTTGAAGAGGTCTCCTATTTTAGACACTCATCAACATGTTAGGGATTGTGGCCCCTTGTTTTGTTTATGGCACATACTGATATGGTTGCTATCTAAATTACGTGTGGGAAATTACATGGATTAAAAAACAACAAAAATAACCCCACAGGTGTGTATAGAAGAAATCTGAAAATACATTGTTTGTGCTGTAATAGCCTGGAAACAACCTTCACCAGGAAAACAGTAAAAAATGCAGTTAGTCTAAATCAGTTTAGTCCTGTAAGATGATAATGCAAATAACAATTGCGGTAATTGTCTTTACATTCATCTGCTTTGAATGGAGGAAAAGGGCTATCTCAGAAAAGAGACAGGTAGAAAACTTCAGAGGGATACACTAAGAGAAAAGTGCATTCAATAGGGAAGGGCTGCTGATTCTGCAGTGTATGAGTATTTCTGAACGGCTTGTTGTAATTTTGATCTCTGTGAGGTACTCAGAAAACATTCTGATGTCAGGATTGAAATAGGCTGCCTGTAGAATCTGTGGAGATCTTTAACATCTAAATGGCATCAATATCTGTGTAACATAAGTGCAGATGAGTAAGTCTTGTGATAAGCAGAACAAGATCATTTGGCCCTTCCAGCCCTCTGTCTAATTTGCTCTGAAATAAAAAAAAAACAAAAATGAAGACACCTTGTT